GATGGGAGATGGGCAAGGGCGCCTCGCATGAGGTCATGCGCCGTTGAGGGGGGGGTAATGTCACGACTTGGTACAGTGCCTAGCCGTTTTTTAATTTTTTCCTTTTCGCGGGCTCGAACCCGCGACCTCTGTACTACCTGCCTGATATGGACACAACGTTATCTACTGTACGATCAGATTAGATAGGACGGCAGTGCACGGCACAGCTCGGGCCCTGCTGACGCAGCCGCTCTGACTCACCGGCCCCCGGGGCCGCGTCGGCATGCTGCGCACGGACCAGCTGCGCACGGACCAGCGCGCACAGCCTGCCCTTATCTCCCCATGTATATAAGCCGGCCTCTACTGCCCTAGGGACCTCAGTTTCGACCTCTTGTCCCTAGGTCAGTAAGCTCCTGTATTCTCTTACTTACCTTACACTAACTAATACATTTCTTGTCCCTAGCCTTAGGTTTGAGCATCGCTCACCATCGCTTCAGTGAGACTTAGTCGGACGCCCCCAGCATTTAGGTTTTTCCTCAGTCGCTTGACCTCAAGTCGCGACAACTACGTTTCTTTCTTCACTAACACGACCACATAGACACGATGGTCCGTGCGCAGTCGGTACTTGTATAAGTAGTTGTACCATTAGTCGGTCAAACCCTAAGTTCGACCTGGTTATTCATTCAAGTCTCTGCTCCTCTTCGCTTGGGGTAGTGGTCATTCTCGACTTCCTCGCTCGATCTTCAGGACGACGCACTGTCCATAAGTCCTTGCTCGTCGTCTACGAGTCAAACATCAATATAGGAGTATAGACCGTTGTATCACCCTGGGCTTTCAGGTTTGTTCATCCTCTGTCGCTTGACTTCAAGTCGCAACACATTGTGATCCATTCCAACGCCTTGCAAACTGCACCGGGTTTTTCCAACATGTACCTTACGGGCATCGCTACACCTATGGACACACACACTCACCACGCCATCACACTGTTGTTCTAACATGGTGTTGGAGCAGATAATCCATACATACGCTCTCCCGCCGGCTCTCCAGCTACTATACTGTTCCGTATTGCCCTGTTTTACCTTACGCTATTTATGCGCTGATGCGCTGCCCCTTCTTGGCACTCATCCCGCCATGTGCATGCATGCACAGCATCAGTACACATCAATAGTACCTGTCATGTACCTTGTGCCTGTCGTTTCTGCTCGCCGTCTTATATGCTCGCATTTGCGACCGCACCCTCAGTCTTGCATTGTATCCGAGCATGCACTGAGGGTGAGTACTTAGCTTGTTCTGTTTTCGTTTACACATACTCACATACATTGTAGTCCTTGTCCTATTTGTTATAGGTATGCATAAATACATGTAGTCTTGCATTGTATCCGAGCACACACTGAGGTCCTCGTCCTATTTGTTATAGTTTGACGACATGTGCTCTAGCCCTGCCGTTGCATCACATGGGGCTGGTTTTAGGAGCCTGTATTGAAACATGGTTGCTCATTCAATAGGCCCAGTGTAGAAACGAGTGTCGGCGTCGGGTTCGAACAAGCGAGCGCGAAGGTTTACGGAAGCGAGCGGCGCGGGAAAAGATCAAATACGAAGCGGTTTGTCTCGTCCTCGGGGCGGGGAGGCAAACGCGCGAAGTAATTACATGCGAGAACTCGGCCTAATATAGTAAACACTTATCTTGATCAGGTACGAAGGAACAAGGTACTATCGCGCCGCAGCGCGGCACGTCGGCGAGCCGGTAGTCGGGCATGTGCTCGTCCGGTTGTTCCAACACCCAGTCGGGCATGCCCCGGGCACAACATTGGCATCCCATCCTGGTGAGTTCACCTCCTCACTAATCGCATAAACCTCGGATCACGATAATATATTAGGCAATTATACACGTGATCTCTCTATTCGTACAAAACATGAAGTTGCGCTCTAGTACGTAGGTGCGTGAACTCATTGGACGGATGGTTTTAGGAGCCTGGAACACCGCACTCATATGAAGTCCTCCTACCCGAACGAAGACGGCGGGAAGAAGCCTGACCATGTTACGCCCCTGGTGTTCGAAAATCCCCTCACTGCGACTCCTTGCAGCTGCAGTCTCCTCGTCCCTGCGTCGTCCTCGCTGCCCACTCTTTTTGCTCAACCCCTCTTCCACGACGAACCCCATCACCACGACGGCCAGTCAACCACATTCTCGTCGACTCTCCAACATGCTGGACCCGAAGTCTCTCATGGAGGACCTGGAGAGCGAACTCTTCAACTACACTACCGGGCGTTTCCTGTAAGTCTCCTGCATCTTGTCTTGTCTCTGTCTAACTCGTAATGCGATGTACTCAGTGTCAACGACGCCCTTCGTCTCCGAGAGCGCAGGCGCGTCTTCGACGTCCCCGGACTCTTTAGAATCATTGCCAGGGCACTGAACTGCAAGACTGAAGAGATCGTGGGCTTTCGAAAGCTCGGAGAGGGTGGCTTCAACCGTACCTTTCTCATCACATTAGACACCGGCTTCCAGCTCGTCGCGCGCATTCCATATCCCCTCCTCGTTCCCAAGGCGTACGCTCTCGCTAGTGAAGTCGCTACCATGGATTTCCTTCGTTCCAGAAGGCTCCCCATTCCTAAGGTCTACGGGTATTCCTTTACGTCAAAGAATGAGGCCGAGACGGAATACATTTTAATGCAGTACGTTGAAGGCACCGACTTGAGCCAGATATGGTTCGAACTTAAGGAAGATGAAATCATCTCGCTTATGGATCAGCTCGCGAAGATAGAGTGTACTATGATGTCTATCTCTTTTCCCGCTGGCGGGAGCATCTACTACGCCAAAGACCTGAAGGAGCTGTCTGGGAACGAGGGCATCCCGCTCAAGGAGGAGAACGAGAACATCCTACTGTACGAGCAGATCGAGAGCATCTCGCTCGAGAAGGAGCGGTTCTGTGTAGGTCCTGACGTATCGCTGCCGCTGTGGTATGGACGAAGGGAACAACTGAACGTATTCCGAGGGCCATGTACGTCACACTTCTCCTATCTCTTCTGTCTCTGAACCAATCGATGACCATAGATGAAGACGCCGAATCGGTGCTGATCACGGGAGCCAAGAAAGAGCTCGCCTACCTCGACTGGTTTGGTTCACCGAGGGCCCCTTTCCAACGCTTCCGAAGGGAGTACTATCAGTACAAGAAGCAGTCACCATTGGACCACGCCAAGAACCTTCGTCGCTATCTCTGTCTCGCACCGTCGCTCGTGCCGGACGATGACTCCCTCAACGCTTTCTGCATCCGCCACCCCGACCTCTCCGACAGCAATCTCAAGGTCTCGTCAGATTCCAGCGGCTTGCAGATCCTTAGCGTGTTGGACTGGCAGCACGCTGCTGTCCTACCCCTCTTCCTCCACGCCGGTATGCCCGACATCATCCAAAACGAAGAAGACGAGGTCTCTCGAACTATGGTCCAACCTAAGCTACCGGACGACTTCGGCGAGCTACCTGAAGAAAAGCAAGAATGGGAGATGGAGCTCCTCCGTCGTCGTCTTGTGCATTATCATTACAGCTTGAGCACAGCGACGCACAACAGGATCCACCACCAGGGTCTGGTCTATTCGTTGAATACTTTCCGTCGTCGCATATTCAATCATGCAACTGCTATATGGGAGGGTGAAACAATCAAGTTGCTGTATGCGCTGATAGATATGGTGTCCGGCTGGGCGAGTTTTGCGAAGGACGGTACGCCATGTCCGGTCGCGTTCACGGAAGACGAGGAAGCTGCGGCGAAGAAGTTGTATCTGGCACTGGCGAACGCAGAAAGGGGTGAGAGGATGCTGAGGGACAGAGTCGGCTACGGGGAGGAGACCTGGGTGCCTGTCGCTCGCTACGAGGATGCTAAGGCACTCGGTCAGGAGATAAAGCGGATGACATTGAAGGCATGTGCGGAGGACGAAGAGACGACGGGGGAGGAGTACGCTGTGATCGAGTCGAACTGGCCCTTGGACGATATGGACGAAGAGGAGTTAGAGGAGTACAAGTAAGGAATGGACCTGTATTTCTGTTCTATGATCTTATTATATACCTGCTGTTGAATTCATCACTACTCCAGCTCTTTTTGCAAGGACTGTCCATGAAAATGTTTCTTTGACGAGGGATATGTCATCAATGTTGTTCTTTAGCTCGCTAATATCGCGAATGTTCGAATGAGTCGCACTTGTCCATTTTTTCATCAACTATACTTGTTTGTTCTCCTTCGAAGACCGAGCTTATATCTCGATTCTATCCTACTAGTGAAAATGGATAATGTCATCGCTGATCGCAAATTGGGTCAAATAAAATGCGCACATGTCATGCCGGATCGCATGGATGTTAGTCTCTGTCACGAGTTGGCACGGCGCCTAGCCGTTTTTTAATTGTTTCCTTTCCGCGGGCTCGAACCCGCGACCTTTGTACTACCTGCCTGATACGGACACATCGTTATCTACTGTACAATTAGATTAGATAGGACGGCAGTGCACGGCACAGCTCGGGCTCCGCTGACACAGCCGCTCTGACTCACCGGCCCCCGGGGCCGCGTCAGCACGCTGCGCACGGACCAGCTGCACACGGACCAACGCGCACAGCCTGCCCTTATCTTCCCCTGTATATAAGCCGGCCTCTGCTGCCCTAGGGACCTCAGTTTCGACCTCTTGTCCCTAGGGACCTCAGTTTCGACCTCTTGTCCCTAGGTCAGTAAGCCCTCGCTTGTATTCCTTTCTTACCTTACTAACCAATACATTTTCTTGTCCCTAGCCTTAGGTTTGAGCGTTGCTCACCATCGCTTCGGTAAGATCTAGTCGGACGCCCCCAGCCCTTAGGTTTTCCTCAGTTGCTTGACCTCAAGTCGCGACATTAGGTCGAAACTCCCCAAGCTGCCGGCGTCCCCTCGAGACTCCCTATAATCACTTTCCTTTCCCACAGGTCGGGTGGTGCGCACCCCTACGATACTTCATGGTACATACGATACGTAGATAGCTTTACCATACATCGCCACCCCTAGAGGAACGAACTCTTCAACACCTGCACTTCAGTGGGCGGTGTTTGTCCTCACGGATGCATGGTCTAGGTTCCTGCTGCATACTAGTCAAAAGCAGTACTGGGCCCCACGTGAACTGCAAACCTCAGGGTCTTCTTGGGTGCCGTAGCATAAGCTAGTATAGCATGGCCATTGTAGTACGCGCACCTCCCTGTCCTCCCCCCATCCATCGTGGCTGCTTGTCAGGGCCAGATCCACGCATTTGACTCGCAGGACCTCATCGACGTCTACATCCCAGACGGCCCTGAGACTGTTATCTACCGTTGTGAGCAGCAGCCGTGCCCGAACCGAACACCCCGATCGATCGCAGAGGACTACCCACGCTACAAAGCGATCCGACGAGCGCAACACCCGCTCGGACCCCGAAGCACCCTCGCGTCTCGATCTGCCTCACGGCATTCTCGCCCTGTCTCCCCTACCTCCCGCCTTCCCCAAACTGTCGCCGAGTCCAGTCAAGCTCGAGGAGATCTCCCTCCAGATCCTGCGCCAGAGCCTGAGCCTGAGGAGGGTGACAGTGAAGAAGGAGTCTCGGAGTCCGAGTCCGCGGATCCTGCTCGGCCCGCCTCGCCGACAGCGCTCGCCCCCGCGTCAGCAGTCCCTGACGTACGTAACCCCCCCGCCGAACTTCCTGCGGCGCCTTCACCGCCGACTCCGCCGAGAGGCCGCTCGAGCACTCGCTCCTCTCGAAGTTCGACCAGCGGAAGGCCACCACAGCCGCCTCTGCCCCCGCAGCGTCCTCCGTCCCCCCCGACGCCGATAATGTCATCCCCCTCGACTGCCCCCGACAAGGAGACCCTGAAGCTCCTTCTCCCCCTCCGCTATGACAGCAAAACCGTCATCGAGTGCGACAGGTTCCTGTCACAACTCCGTATCTATTGGTTGATCAACACGTCTGTCGCGACTTGAGGTCTAGCGACAGGGGAAAACCTAAAAGGAGCTGGGGGCGTTCAACTGATTCTCACCGAAGCGATGGTGAGCAATGCTCAAACCTAAGGCTAGGGACAAGAAATGTATTAGTTAGTGTAAGGTAAGTAAGAGAATACAGGAGCTTACTGACCTAGGGACAAGAGGTCGAAACTGAGGTCCCTAGGGCAGTAGAGGCCGGCTTATATACATGGGGAGATAAGGGCAGGCTGTGCGCGCTGGTCCGTGCGCAGCTGGTCCGTGCGCAGCATGCCGACACGGCCCCGGGGGCCGGTGAGTCAGAGCGGCTGCGTCAGCAGGGCCCGAGCTGTGCCGTGCACTGCCGTCCTATCTAATCTGATCGTACAGTAGATAACGTTGTGTCCATATCAGGCAGGTAGTACAGAGGTCGCGGGTTCGAGCCCGCGAAAAGGAAAAAATTAAAAAACGGCTAGGCACTGTACCAAGTCGTGAC